CATGCTCCCGGCGATGAGAGAGAGGAGCTCCGCATCGCCCCAGCATCAAACCAGAGCCCTGGGGAGAGGGCAGAGTATCTCAGCCCCTCCTGCCTCCCCTCTGTCCCGGCCACACGCTCTCACCTTGTGGTATCACCGTCTATGCTCCCCTTCCCACCACTGCTATCGTCCTCGGGGGCTTTCCTGGCCCCGCTGCCCGGGGGCTGCTGCGTGCCGGGCTGCGGGAAGATGCTGCCGGTTTCCATGGTCCCAAGGGAGCGGCACAGAGCGGGTTACGCTGAGGCACCGTTTGGGCTGCAAACCGCAGATTTGCCTTATCCAGAGAAGGCAGCACCGCAGCCAGGACCCTGCTGAGCTCTGGGGTTGCCCGTGGGGCTGGCAGAGTGCGGGCAGGCAGCTGTCCCAGTCCCCGCTACAGCCCACTCCCGCGGAGGAGGGAGGCTGCTGGCTTCCTGCTCTGCCCCTTGGTTGCCTGCTCCACCACGCGTCAGCGCTGGCTCTGCTCCAACCCAAACCACTTGAGATGCAAAAACGCACCCCAAATCCAGCCTGGGGCACTTCACTGCCACGCAACCACCGCGCAGGGGGTGGTGGAGGTGGACGCAACCCCAACGGGGTGCGACGGTGTGAGTGTGATGGATGGGGACATTGGGGGTCTGGGCACCCACCCCCCAGGGCTCAGCTGCCGGTTTCCTGTGCGGCACCGCCCAAGCCGGGTGACAGAGGCGCAAGGCGACGCCAGGCAGGAGAGGTCAATGCAAAGTCTTTACTACAGACAGGGTTACACGGAGGAAAAAGCAACAAGCGGCACTGAGAGGAAGGAGAGGTCCGTCTAACGGGAGATGGGGCTAACTGCTGATCCTCAGCCTCGCAGGCACCGTTTCTCTGCTGGGAAGAGAAGTACGGGGCGAGAAAAAGAATTTTTTGCCGTTTCAGATGTGTCCTGGCAAACAATCCAGGGCAGCTGGGGAGAAGAGTGAGGATGTAGGAGGAGATGTCCGTCCCCACCGTCTGCCGTGCATCAGGGTGGCAGCAAGGCAAAGGACGTGGCAAGGGAACAGGGGACCGGTGCCGAGGAGGGAGGAGGATCCCGGCCTCCTGGGGAGGGTGGTTTTGCTCCCTGGGGGGACTCAGCCAGGAGTTCTCCCCTCCAAGTCCGTGAGCGGCGCGAGGCAGCCCTCAGAGCAGGGTGCACATGCCCTTGCGCTTGACCTCAAAGGTGGCTGACAACAGCCCCAGCTTCTGCTGGCTGTAGGGCGGGTAGCGCAGGGCGTTGAGAGCCTCCAGGCCCATGTTGCGGTGTAGGCAGCCACGGCGGTGGGTGAAGGTGTCGAAAGTGAACTTGCCATGGTATTTACCCAAGCCACTGTTTCCTGCAACACACAGCACAGGTCCAAAGTTGCTAGGGGACTCTGCTCCTGCCCACTCCAAACATTGTCAACCCAAGGCAAACTTTAGAGGCTTTTCTTATGCAAATGCTCCCGCTGCTGAGCAATGCGGACATAGACCTGGTGGAGATCCTACCCTTCCCTGCACCTTTTCCAGCTCTACGCCTACTCCGTCCGGCAAATCCTTCTGCAGGTCACCACTGTTTGGAGGTCCAAGTGTATCATTTTTACTGGCCTGCGTTTATCTACATAAGCTTTGCTGGGTCTACAAGGTTCGATTTCCCTCTACAACCTCTACGGTGCTCTACCGTATCTACCCATGGTTAGGAGCTACCAGCGTGGCCCTACGGAGCTCTTAAAAATTGGAGCTACATTGGCAACACCGGTTCTCCTGATTCCTGTGGCTGGTTTAAGCTCAAGGTTGCACATTGCGGTTAATAGCCCAGTGACTTCACGTCCAAGCCACTGTGGAAGCTTTGGCGAATGCCATCTCACCCCAATGACTTCAGAGCCTTCACCTGACCGAGCTGCTATAAAATGGCTTCACCTGATAATTTGAGGCAGTTTGTCTGAATCATTTCCATAAAGATAAGTTACGGTATGGGAACCACCAAAAATTGTTCCCTGAGCCACAGTCAGGTGAAGAATTAATTGTACCTTGCTCTCGTGGTGTCCTATTATGTCTGAATCAGCTGTCAGCCCCGACAGAGATGCTGAGCATGGGCAGCATAAAACTGAGATATTTTCCCCAGAGAACATTCCGAGGAAGAGACTAGGTGATTGGGAAAGTATTCTGGGCAAACATTGTCAGAGGCTTCCTGTATTCCTGTGCTCTTCCCTGGACAATGCTACAACCAGGGCCCAGGGCTGAGCAGACCTCACTTTTCACCTGAGGAAACAATTGTCGTTGCCCTTGGAGAGCAGAAACTCTTCCTCTTTGCCAAGGAGGATCTCCAAGTTACCATAATCAGGTTCTCCAGACATTTATAAATGTTTTGCTCCTACTATTTAGTCCTAAAATGCAGAATGACTGTACAAGCCTGTTCCTGAGTGACACTGAGGGCTCCTATCCAGCACCATGCTGTCCGCAGGAGGAAGCTCACCTACCCAAGAAGCACAACGAGTTGGATGTGCTCCCAGGCGAGGAGCAGAGTGATGGAGAGGCCAAAGGCAGCAGCAGTTGAGGAGCTCTCAGATAAAGCCTGAGTGGGGCAGGAACCCAACCCCGGCACAAAAATTCACTCAGAAATACCAGGGAAATAATCAAGTGGTACAGATTTCCCTACCTTTTATAAGAAGTATTTGCACGTACTCAGGGAACACCGTGCTTGGGATAGCAAGCACAGAGAGAAGAAAGCTCACAGTGCTCCACACGTGTGGAGCCCGGGAGCTCAGCCCTCACGCAGTGAAGCAAAGGGCTTGTGGTGGGGTCCTGGCAGGTGCAGGAGGAT